GTGTGTCCCTTACAGCAGTCACCTGCCCTCCTGTGTGTTACCACAGTCATATGCCCTCCTGTGTGTCCGTTACGGCGGTCACGTGCCCTCCTGTGTGTCCCTTACGGCAGTCATGTGCCTTCTTCCCCCTTGTTCTTGGCAAATGACACGGATTGAGTCTGAACACTGACCCAGCCTTGTGTTTCTGGCGTCCTGCGACCAGCTTTGGTCCCTTGTTTTGTTAGGACTTCTGCAGGTGTGTCCACGAAGTCACCGGCCCGCGTTTGCCGCTTTTGTGATGTCTTCATCAGGTTTTGACATCAGGGTTGTGTTGACTTTATGAAATGCTTTGGGAAGTGTTTTTCTAAAATTCTTTGCTTTCTGAAGAAATTAATGTCATACCTGTAATTTTTTTCTTTAAACGTTTGATAGAGCTCAGCAATGAAGCCACCGGGGCCTGGGAAACTGTCTTGTTCTGTTAGTTTCTGTGGAAAGGTTTTCAGGACTGAGGGACTCGCTGAGACTCAAGTTGGAAGCTCAGGAACTCAGGCCGTCAGCCAGAAGAATAAGCACCTTGCTCTTGGGGGCCCCCAGGGCCACCCCACACTCCAGGCTCCCGAGGACGCTGTGGTCTGGACCTCATCCTCTCTCCTGGCGGTGTGGTCTGACAGGGCAGTGAAAACTCCCTGTGGCTGTGGAGGCCTCTCCTCCCTGAGGCTCTGCCAGCCTGGCTGTCTGTGCCGGGTTGGGTTTTGTTTCATCTCCCTTTACGTTCCTGTCTCTCTCGCGCTCTGCCTTGAAGTCCATCAGCTGTTCCTAGTGCAGCCTGCCGCCGTGCCCCACGGCCCACCCACCCTGCGGCCTCTGCGGGCCTTCTTCCTCGCACTCTGCCTCTTTAGATGTGCAGTGTAAAGTCATTTTTAAGTGAGTGTCTTTTAGACAGGGCCTGGCTGAGTCTTGCTGTCTTGCTTATTAGAATGCTCTCTTTCCGGTGGGGGCTCAGCCTCTTCGTTGCCGTCAGGACCTGCTGACTCTGAGTCCACCGGCCCAGTCCCGACTCCGTCTGCCGCCTCCCTGCACCGCCAGCGCTCCTGCCCACCTTCTCCGGGGCTCCCTGAATTTTCCTAGAATTCTATTTCGTTTCCACTGCTGGCTTCTTGGTTTCTCGACTGTACCTTTTGAAGGAATGGGGACGTCTCTAGGACCAAGAGCAGGCATCCTTAACTTAGCATCGTCTGTGTCAAGCCAGCATTGCGCTAGCTTACTTCACAGAGATACACGCCGTAAAACACGGTGACCACACCCCTCACACCCCTGCGGGGCCGTCCTTCGACTTCCCACAGCACAGTGTGAACCTCAGACCCCAGCGCGGCTGTGTTGAGAACTGCTTCTCAAGCCTGGCTTGACAGTTGTACCGTTCACAGGCAGCCTGCACAAGGCCGGGGGTCCGGGCTCCCCACACGGGCGTTTCTGGCTGCTCTGCATGGCCCCGCCTCTCCAGAGCAAGCCTCCTTCAAAGCCCTGCACCCCAACGCCTGCTGCCTTGGCCCGTGGGAATCACAGCCGGCCCTGAGGAAGTTGTCCCCAGGTAGACAGCCAGGCAGCGTTGGGCCAGCGCCTGGGTTTTCTTCTCCCAGGGGCTGCCGTCACAAGCAGGGGAGGTGAGTGGGAGGCCTCCGGGGTCTGCAGGGTCTTCTCTTCTTGTCCCCATTTGTGAATCCCCAGGGCCAGGCAGGGACGTCACTGGATGGACGGCGGAAAGCTGGGGCACCAGGCACCAAGCCCGCCCTCTCCAGGCCTCCTCCTGGGGATGTGACCCCAGCCCTTCCAGGCCCCTGATGCCACGCCACCCCCACAGCCTCATGACGCTGCTCCGCTGCCAAGTACACATGGAGATGGCGCAGATTGAGGAGGACGAGGACCGGCTGGAGCCCGCCATGGAGCACCTGCGGAAAGCCACACACCTAGATAGCCTGGGCCTCTACCAGGACCGGCTCCGGATGGCCTCCAACCGGCTGCACCTTTGCACCACGCTATACCAGGCCCCCGAGCACGCCGAGGACAAGGCCATCATGGCCATCGAGCAGGTGCTGCCTGGGAGGCGGGAGAGGCCAGGTGCTGCAGCCCCAGTGTGGGGCCCAGACCGGGCACTGAGGGGATGGGCACAGCAGAGTGGAAGCTGCCCAGGGCCGCCTGGAGCAAGGAGGCCTGGGACCGAGCCGTCCCTGCTTCTGTGGGCACGAGGCCCACACAGTCCCCTGCCAAAGGCCAGGAGGCTCCAGAAGTGGGAGAAGGTGCTGCAGAAGGCCCAGCGGCCCCTCTCTCATCAGTCTCTGCTTTTCACAGGCAAAAAAAGCTACCCTGAAGGACAGCGTCAGGAAGAAGCGGGCCCTCCTGGTGAACGCAGGCCTGGCCTTAGCCCCCGACACCTTTCAGATCGTGCTGGACAGTGAGAATGAGGCCAAAGGTGAGCGCCACCCTGGGCTCCCCAGCCTGGAACTGTCCACCTTGGAGTGGCTTCGAGGCTGCCCCAGGGCCTCCCTGGTTCCCATGCCGCCCTGCCATGGCCCCTGGATGTACAGGGACCATGCCGTGTCCCATGAAGTTCAGGCCATCCACAGGCGGCGTCCTCCGACCTTGGCCCGCTGGGTCTGGCAAGGCCCAGGGAGGGTCTCCACGGCCGTGGCTGGTGCCTGGCTGCTGGGACGGAGTCCACAGGCTCCACCTCTAAGACAACAGGAGCTTCCTCCTCCCAGCCCCAGGCTGGACATCAAAGCTTGGGCAGGGCTGCTCCTCCTGAGGGCTTTCTCCTTGGCTCATGGATGCCTTCTCCCTGCATCCTCACTGGGCTGCCCTGCATTTTCCTTTCAATCCTTAGTGTCCACTGGGAAGAACAGGGGCCGGTTCACCTACCTTTGCTTGAAGGCACGGCACCACATTGTCAGCGTGGACAAAGCTGCCGGGCACCTTCGGCGCCTGGGCTATGAAAACGACAAGGAGAGGTGAGTGGGGGGGAGGTGAGGGCGGGAGAGGCAAGATGGGGGGG